ACTATTTGAGAATCACACATCAGTTGGTGATGATGGTTATTCCAAATATCGGAGACTATCATCTGAAAAAGATGGATAAATTGCTACAATTCGAAATAATGATATCGATAAAAGAGTAATGGTAAGAGTAAGGGTAGTCCCTTACAACCCACTGTTGCTTAAGATATTTGATGCACACATAAATGTGGAACTGTGTAACTCTGTAAAATCAATTAAACACATTACCAAATATGTAAACAAAGGTAGTGATCAAGCTATATTTAGTTTAGATTCTCGAAATGAAGTGGAACAATTTCAATAAACCCGAATAATAAAAATCCAAAAACCCGATAAGTCTTTGCATTATCACCATGAAAGTATGGCTGAAGACATATTGTTTCGAAAACAACAAGAATGTCTATCAGATGATATAAATTTCAATGAAAATATTTTTGTTGAAGCTTTACTTGCGTTGAATTAAGTGGTGCAATCAGTTTCTGGCAAAAATATCACTGATTTTGGATTAGTTTTATCAAACAATATAGATCTGAATACCAATACTGAATACTAGCGAGAGACGTTCTACAACAGATCCCGTCTATTACAGGTCGTTTAAACTCTGATCAGAAAACGGTTTATGACGTATTAATGACTTTCATTAATAATTACGAAGGAAAAACATTTTTCTTTGATGCCTCTAGAGGTACAGGGAAAACATTTTTAATTAATTTATTGCTCTCTAAAATAAAAACAGAGAGAAAAATCGCTCTTGCTGTGTCTTCATCTGGAATTCCAGCTACGCTTTTAGAAGGTGGCTGAACTGCACATCCCACTTTTAAGATCCCGCTAAAAATGTCCTTTAATAATACATCAAGTGTCTGTAACACTGCTCAATTGATGCAGGATTGTGTGTTCATTATTTGAGACGAAGCATCAATTTCCCAAAAAAGCTCGGTTGAAGCATTGGATAGAACCATGCGGGCCTTACGTAATAAAAATATATTAATGAATGGCTGTACAATCTATTTCCTGGAGATTTCCGTCAAATCTTACCAGTTGTAGTAAGTGGAACGAGAGCTGATGAAATCAACGCAAGAGATCTTACAAACTAAAGACAAAACTAAATTGTAACTGAAAACTAATATGAGAATCTTATCATCTGACCAAGATAATAAGTCTTTTGTCACCAACTAACGATCAAGTCAATAAAATAAATGACATAATACTGTTCAAATTCAATGCACAAACAAAAGTTTACTATTCCGTTGGCACTGTTTAAGATACAGCGGAGGCGATACATTATCCAACTGAATTTCTAAATTCTTTATCTCCTTCAGGGACTCCACCACACAAATTAATTCTAAAGGTAGGTTCTCCTAAAATTTTACTTCGGAACTTAAGTCCACCAAAATTATGCAACGGTACAAAGTTACAAATAAAATCTTTAAAAAATTGTCTGCTTGAGTGTATAATCCTTACTGGCTGTGAAGCTGGGGAAACGGTCTGGATTCCTAGAATACCAATGATACCAACTAATTTACCATTCCAGTTTAGATAGCTCTAATTTCCCGTGAAGTTAAGCTTTGCAATGACTATTAATAAAGCACAGGGTCAAACACTAAACGTTGCAGATTTAGATCTAACTGTCTAGTGTTTTTCCCATGATCAATTGTTCGTAGCTCTGTCACGTGTCACATGCAAACAAAATCTATTTGTGCTGGCCCCAGAAAGGGAGACACTTAACGCGCTGTATTCTGAAATATTTAATGCTTAATACAAATTGAAATAATTGATGAAAAATAATAAAAATCATATGTCATAACAAATCAAATATATTCCATACTTATGTTATAAATAAAATTATACTAAAAAAATTAATCAAATTAAATATCTGATATAATTCATATCAAACTCTTCACATATTCCTAAACATTTATAAATGTACTGAAATCTAACAATAGCAAAGCATTGCTGGGTCAGCTAGTAAATTTATATAAGTATTATAAATAACTATCGTTATAGTATTTGATTATTGTTCACTTTTTTCAAGCAACATTTTTTTTTTTTCGTTGAAATAGTTGTTGCTTTATTCTAAAATAGTAAAATATCTCACAGGCGTCACCAGGTATTTAATTTAGTTTTATAATATCAATGATTTTTAATAAAACATTATTATTGAATATTTATAACAATCATAATTCATAACCGACATACGTTATAGTTTCTTGAGCGAGAAATTACTATTACATTCGGACATTTCGTTATCACAAAATTAATATACTTAACCTGAATACCACGGGATTTTTTAATTTATCAAAAATATTATTGACGTCAGTATAATATTTACCGATACGTATATATTTGTAACATCTGTATCATTCATGAAACACCCGTCTTTATAATAATATATTATTATAATTATGAGTTTATTATTCATACATGTGCTCACCGTAAAATTCGTGTAAATGATTGATCGCTTGGTGTAATTCTGCTGTAAGAAAACTATGTGAAAAGATAAATTTGTAGATAATAACATTTTGCTTCCCCGAAATCCTTTCAAGTCCATTCAAATCTCGATACATATAAAATTGCTAAAAATGCGTTCAGGTTTTGGTATCGATTAAATTTATTTTCTACTTGCACCTTTAGCAGCATAATATAATGTAGGCCGATTCGTACGCAAACGAATATATCAATTGTTAGGTATATGTTATCTTAATATGTTTTACGAAAATTAATTCGGTAATTTTGTGAACATTTTTTTAACAAACAGTTAAAAAAGTATCCTTATGTAAACATTTCCCTAATAAATTCTAATCGATTTCCGAATTTCCCTAGTTGTATTGTGGTTTTGCGTACTACGTATTTGTCAGCTTTTTTTGAATTTTGATGTAATCTCGGACTATGCTAATTTTTTTACACGGTTCGCACACGATTCAAATAAAATTATACAGCATTCGGACTGAAAACCTTGTTGTCCTCTATCTTCTATTCGCGTTTACCGTTGAATTTGCACTCGGCAGGACTCGGAACGGCCGCAACGTAACCGATGAAAATAATATCTAAAAACTAAACGCGCGTATCGTGCGATACGGTCATTTGGAAGAAGCTCGTCAAATAATACAACAGGAAACACGAACGGAAAGTAGGTGGTAACCGGATTTTATAATATTTTATTTTTACAGAAGCCTCCTACCTGGTGCAATGGGGTTACTCGAGGTTATCACCGAGCCTATTATCATCACGGCTAAAACGAATATAACGCGGTTATCGGCGGGTTGTGTGAAACCGGCGGTCTTATCGGCGAAGAAAACGCTAACGCATTGGTTATAATAATACACCGTACGTGGTACGGTGTGTTGCGTTACGACGTGTACGTGCACACATGTGCCCGTGATCGCGAAAACGTTCAAACACGTGTAGACGTGACGCTCGCGCGGCACTGCGTATAACGAAACACTATTAAATTAAGACCGACCCTGCGGCGAGTGGACCGCACCGGGACGCGTTAAAATTCTCGTACCGTTACACTCGGCAACGAAATGTTGACGGACGACGCGAGTGTAACCGGTCGGCCGGACGGACGGAACAGTCACGGCGGCCGGCCACACAGACACGGTGCGACACGACTGTACGTTGCCGTTTCGTCCGCCGGCTGCGAAGCCGTCGCCGCAACTTTTTAGCGGCTTCTTCAATTAATCAAAAACGTTGCGCGCGGACATTGCAATTCGCCAACAGCCCGACGACGCCCGTCTGCGGCACCGTTTTAATTGAAATGGCTTTTGTTTTTCGAAATAATTGTCACCGCTGCGTTCCGTTTATTATAAATCATCGTTCCGCGGACGCATCGGGCGCGTGATACGTTAGGTGCACGGGACGATGATTGTATTGTACGTGGTTGGCTCACGAACGAGTGTACAACAACGTTGGCAGGGCGCAAGAGAGATGTAGACGTAGGCGGTGGGACAGAATGTGCGCGTGACGGAGAGTCCGGGACGGACGGAACGGTAATATGTCTGTGTAGGAAGATAACAAAATAATTACTATTGACATTTTCAATTCACCAACAACCCGACTGTTAGGTGATGTACGTGGTGCGTACACGTAAGAAATCGTAAACCTAATGAGTTCTAATCTTAAAAATTGATGCAGATTGGTTTTCGTTTCACACTCGTGAATTAATTGCGAACAACTTGAACTGTGTGATCTTTTAGACCAGTTGTTCTCAGCATTTTTTCTCCGCGGAGCCCTTTATGTTTTCAAAAAAAATTTACGGCGCCCCGGAAATCAGGAATTTATATTCCAGACAACAATAATTATTAATATTTCATATTGAGAAAGGCACAGAGTTAAAAATTTCATTTTTTTTATAGTTCGGATCTTGTTATTCGATGTGAAAATTGTCGTTTTGCGTTGATAAATTAATTTCATTTCATTTTGTGAAGATAACAGCCAAGTTATGAAGTTACGGTAACCAAATTTTATCAGAAGTCTTAGTTATAAATAAAATTGGTGTTACTAAAACGTATAACTCTTTGCGCAATTCAGGTAATCATACCAGTGTTTTTCCTCAATAACTAAGAAATATAATAATATTTAAATTTAGTTAATTAATATATACTCACGGAGCCCCTAGACTTTTCCAGCAGAGCCCTAGGGTTCCGCGGAGCACAGTTTGAGAACCGCTGGTTTAGACATTTGAATTGTTGATGAACTGTTTAAACGTTAGCATGCATTTAGAAGTTGTAATTTATTAGTAACACGAAAAATAAATAAAATAATGCCAATGCATTTTTAAAACCAATATAATGTATTCGTATTACATTTGTTGCGAACACATAAATTATATTTTTTTCGTTAAATATCCGCATGTGCGGTACTGATCGTCTCTTGAGAATTGGTAATAATGCGATTAGTCATGATAATATTATTGTTGAAATGGAACGAGGGGAAAACAGAATATTAAAATTTAATTATTATATCAAAATCGATGGAAAATGTGACTTTATTATGCATATTTCTAAAGGGTTTGTTGTATAGACTTAACGTGTAAACACAATTATTTTATTCTGTCGTACGCAGCCAAAACCATGAGAAAAATCGCGAGTAAATTTTCTAATGCTGCTATAAGTATACTTAAACAACAAAGTTTGAAAAATAAATTTTGGAACGACGACAAGTATTCATCGTAAGTAGTTTTTATATTTTTTTGTTCACTCCATAAGTCTATACCGCGGCCTCTGATCCTTAACGAAATCGTGTAAGAATAAAATTTTAAAATACTTTTCAATAAATGCACATGAGTCATTTTTACTAACATTAAAATTACGTGACCTACTTTTTATCTGAATAAAATACATTTGTTATGATATAATATAGTTTTGCATTACCATTCGACAGTCATGTGTTAATAATTTAGATCTATATTTTTGTATAAATACAATGTAATGTATACTTAGAAATATGTAACTACCGGTGTGTAGGTACTATAATACATCGTATATTTCGTTATGCATTTAAACACTGACGAATAAATAAGTTAACCAAACCATATAGGCGACATTATTACCGATGGGTATACAAAATATTCGAATTAGAAATAATAATAACGAAATTACTGATTTTACAATCAATAGGCGTAAATCACTTATTTCATATTGATTTTTATTAATATTGATAGTATTTGACGTATGTAGTATCTATTCTATTGTGTTCGAAACGGCATTGCGATGTTCAATACTGTATAAACTATGAAGTAACAACTCACCGATACGGAATCTGGAAAATCGCATTTTAGATACATTTCTGCCGTTTCGGTAAGCATCACGTATTTGCATGAAGCACAATTAATTTATTTATAAATGCTGAACACCTGAGACTGTTATCGGGTGGCCGCTTTGTTCCTACAAAATAACCTACATAATAACTTAACCTGCATAATATTGTACGTACATTTATTCGCACTCTAACAACTAATTAAACTAGATTTCCATCTTTGATATCCCAAATATATTTTAAAACCCTTTGCATACATCTCGTTTTCAAAATATCTTCCTAATTTCTAAGTTCAACGAAAATTATTTTCAAAATTAATTTCTGATACGTATTATGTTACTCATCAACGAGAACCTCACATTTGATGTTAATTAATTATATATATTATTTTATTTTTGTTAAATTGTTACTTTTATTTGGAATATTCTACCATTATAATTATGTTATGATTGAACTGAACTCTGATTTTTAAATAATAGACGTGGGCATTTATAATAAATAAATAAATATGTTATATAAATAAGTATGTTCACAATGGAGTAATCCTAAATTAATACAGTATAGACTTAAGCTTAGAAATTAATATAATGACAAATGTATGTGTATTGCGCCCCACTGTTTCGGAAATTACGAGTATAGTTCTTAACAGTACAACAGTACCTAAATATAACATTGACGCCACGCGATATTTACACAAAACCGATTAAATTTAATCTAGTCTCTGTAGTTAGTAATTTATCCCTATTAAGGCCTAACACCGTGTAGTTTTTACAAAAGTAAATTCTGATAAAATATTGAAATTTCCTAAATATTGTTTTTTACACAGGCTGCGGTATTTACCGCGTTTTCGTAATATAAATAGCGCCATAATAACGTGTATCAGTACAGTTGTTTTGCAAAATGAAATGTATTAGTGTTGTATTGTTTAATCTCAATTTCCACATAATTTATGAACATATAGATCACAATAAACTCGGTTTAATTATTTTTAAATTTTTAATAAACAGATTTAAGCTGTATAAAAGTATTAAGGAATAATTAATCATTTTAATTACTATTTCACACAATTCAACAAACATCCACACAATAATGGCGATAAATCATTAATCTCATTATAATATATTAATATGAATTCATTGCGTATAAATCATCATCATTGTTTTTGTTGTTGTTGTTGTTGTAATAATAATTTGAATATCGTCATGACTTTTGATTTACACAAATTTATCATACATCTATGTGCGTAAGTCAAATTAATCGTTTATGTTTTTAGGATCTATTGGACAAGTGTGTTGATTGGATCCTTTATATTGACCGTATTTTTGTCATATGACATAGTCTTGAAATGGTACAGTGCTCCAGTAAACAGATTCAACATCAATGAACCGCGACACTTATCGGAGAATCCGTTCCCCGCAATCACGATTTGTCACAACGATCCGATTAATTCAAACACGTTCAACTTGGAATCTGTGTTGAGTTGGGAGCGACAAAATAAAACAGACGAAGAGTAAGTATTAATAATTATTGCTGTTTTATTAATCTATTACGATAACCTAGAGTTGATTCAGATCTATACGACGTGTGATGGAGGGAGAGTCTTTGAAACTCAAATAGCACGCTACCCGGCTTGAACCATGGTTCAAAATATATACATTTTAATTATTATAGTTAATTTATTTTAAATTTATCTTAAGCCCTGGCTGGAAGGAATGAAGTGTCTAAAAAACCCTTAGCTCTCAAGAGATATATTTTTCGTCTCGATCGACCTTCTTCAGATCCGCCCCTGAAATAATTATTCTTAAATTATGAAGGTATTTGTATATTTCAATAAAAAAAATAACATCAATAATAAATAAAATGCAATTTATTACAAACGTAAACACCATTCTAGAGAAGCGGGAGACTTGATTGATGAAAAATATATTCTGTAAGTATCATGCTCTAGCTAATTAAATATGGATAATTGCATGTACAAAAAAGGGCGAAACCCCTAAGCGAGATGAGACTCCAAGGTCGAGTGAGATACAGGCATGAGTGAATGGTATTGTTGTATTGGTCTTTTAATCAATTTACCATTGCTTCTGGTCGGAATTTAGCGCACAGTGTTACGTCTACTTTATGCAGACCTAACACTTCTTCGTTTTTGGCCAAATCCGTTCACATATATATTAAAATATTGTACGACAAAGGGAGAGGCGTCTCATCACGTCAACGGTCAACCATGACGCGTATAACATCAGTTGATATATTACCACCTTAACACGAATAACTTAACATCTTAGCAATATCAAATACGTTCGTGTATACCATATCCGATTGTCATTTAAACCATTATTGTTCAACGCTGTGGTTCAATAACTAGATGTATACATTTAATTATTATACTTTATACTTTAAATAGTAAACAGTGTTTACTAAGACAAATTAGAAGAATTATAATCATTATTTCATAATACATATTTAGTAATTAGTACTAACTACTACTATAAATACTAAGATAGGATAACTATGTTTAAAAATTATTCAAATAATATTATGATCACAAATTATTCCAATAATATTGTTTCCAAATTATTCGAATACATTTTTATTCGAATAATATTGTTTCTAAATTAGTCGAATATTTGTATTTGAAAATTAGTCGAATACATTTTTATTCGAA